GTTAGGCCACACATAAGTTTGGTTGTACCAACCAGACTCGCTAGTAAAATGTGAAACAAACTAATTATGTGGTTGTTGTAACGATAGAGTAATTACTGAGTTACAGTGATGATATTTGCTCTAAGCAAAATGTATCCATGGTAAATATCACCTCAATTGATTTCTAATTGTTACATCCAAATTGACCCGGACAAATTCAAGTAATGACACTAGTATAAGAATATATAATATATAAATATATAAATAACATACTGAACAAACAAAAAATTGCGTCTCAGTATTTTTAACAGTTCTTGAGTTATGAGGGAACAATACATAGATACATACAAACAAACATATATATAAATACGACAAACTGAGAAACTTTTTTTTTGAAATTCGATTCATAATGGAACAATGCTGACTGTAAAATTGCTGACTACGCGATCGTACGAATCGCTCAAGCACTTTCGGCGTCTGATCGAATCCGCTTTGGATCCGTCTGATCGAATGGCGATTCATTTGCGAGTCATTTTACCTGGTGCTGGCCTTGTGGATTATTTGTCGAAATTAAACACACAAATGGAGATATGTATATAAATAGTAAAGTGTATTTAAAAAATATTCCATAAAAAATATCAAGTACAAGTTCTTCGCAAAAGACTTATGTTAAGCTTAGTCAAGGCACTGGTATTTACAGAAGCGCCAACATTAACACGCCAGTGGCAAGTGGAATATCGTCTACGTTTACGTATCTATATACAGTGAGACCTAACACTCTAAAGCGACACATCTCTCCGATGTTCCAATAATTATATTTCGAACATATGCAAGTTACACTCGAGACCAGAGAGAAAAGGGGAGAGAGAACAATCGGTCGAGTGTCGTAACGCGCTCTCTGCATGTTATGCAAAATTATAATGATGAAAGACGATATTCAGTATAATCGACATCGCTCTCGATAATATATGCAATAAGACTGTATTGCATGCATTATGTCGCGAATTATAAATACAGTCGCGCGCAAATGTCAAAGGTACATTCGTAACAATCTCATACGTTTCCGCATATCATAATATATAAAGATGTGTACGGCATCAGCAGACGGTAATTACATCTCTTGTCGCATACCAATGAATAAATCATAAACTCGATCGGGGTTCATCTTGATAGTAAGGCACGTAAAAATGTTTACATTGTGACACGTGTATAACACGCAATTTAATATACTTCAAGAAGAGTTGTTAAAAAAAGCAGTTGATTGTTATTTGATTGCTGCGATCGCGTGAAATCGATGAAATAGCTTTAACACGCAATATAATTAGGTTGCTTGGATTTTCTAATTCTACATATTGATTCATTATTTAACGGATTATATTTAAAGAAAACGATGTGTTAAGATAGCGTTGTTGAAGATAGCTTTACGCCACGTTAGTGGCAAGAAATAAGCGTGTACGATTGTCAAACGCCAGTAACCTAATTGTACCGCGTGTCAAGGCTGCTCTGCCTCTTGAGTTGGTGTGCATACATTCGAGTGATTACTTCTTCAATCGAATAGACTGTCGCGACAACGAACAGCGCGCGTTTCTACATACAAATGTAATAGTAATTTACGTATGCTTGGCGCGTTGTTATATAAATATTTCGTGAGAAAAAAGAAGTTTCAAGTACAAAATATAGCCTTAAGTGTATTAATGCGGCTCACCACTTACGATTAATTAAGGCACTTGTATTTACAAATGTTTTTGATTGTGTCTCGCAGCGTCTCAAGTCGTTTTCTTACATGGATAGTATCAAAAAGTTAGATTAAGCGAGGAGATGATAGAAGACAGCTACATGAAGTTAATAATGTAAACTCTTCCTTTGCAGTTTTTTTCGCGAAGAAAAGTTTATATGTGCATTATGTATATTATATCAGGTATTTATCATCTTCTCGCTGATTGACTTTATTTTTTGATACACACTGTATATCTTTCGCGTCGGCGTATGTATTTTATATATATATATATATATATATATATATATATATATATATATATATATATATATATACAGAGTGTCCCATCTAGCTTGACCATTTTAAATATCTTGCTTATGTTTTATGATAGGGGGACATTATTCAGTTTGACAAATACTGTAAAAAACAAAAAATTTTTCTTGTTCTTCTATTTTTTTCTTCTATCATATCGCGATGATAAAAATATGTAGTCTCATATAAAAAATGATAATCACCTTGAAATCCTAAAAAATATGATCTTGAGAAAAATTTCTTGTTTTCTAAATTTCTTGTTTGTATTTGTTTCTTCGAACTGAATAATGTCCTCCTTTAGCATCCTCTTATCATAAAACCTCTTATCATAAGCGAAATATTTAAGATGGTCAAGTTAAGTGGGGCACTCTGTATATAAAATACATAACTTAAGTATGTAAATATATCTTTATATATATTTATATATGTGTGTATTAAAAATGGCGCAATATAATAAATGCAAGACGTAATAAATATTTCGCTAACATTTTATATAAATAAGAGTCGCGATTTATTTTTCAAACCTTAAATACGCGAATAATGTAAAAATTTAATAAAAATATCGTATCAACGATCACATTGATATTCGTACAACAAGAATTATCGCTCTTATTTGATAGTATGTCACGCGTGTTATATATATCTAACATAATTCTATAGTTACGCGACAAACAATTCTTTTATGTTACTAAAAAGTGACTTCGATAATAATCAAATTTATGATACAATTAAATTAACTGTACTCATGTTATACGTATGTATGTATGTACGTATACGTATGACGCATGTAAATGGCCGAACAAGTATTTCTTTCTGGAAGCGCGAAATGTCATTGCTAAAGGGAATTAACGTATCTTCTTTCTCTATTGTGCCCTTGGAAAGATGATTGATTAATATAATCAAAGGTATCATACGCGTTGGTACCCGAATCTTGTTTATTAATCCGACCTAACATGTTTGGTGATATGTGTGTGTGTGTGTGTGTGTGTGTGTGTGTGTGTGTGTGTGTGTGTGCGTGTGTGATATCTAATTTCTTAAATAAATATATATTATTTGCATTAAATAAACGTTCAACATCCATGAGAATTGTACCTTTCTACGATGATCCGAAGGACGAGACAGCGAATAAATTGCCCGGCGTCCAAATGCTCTCGTCACAGTAAGTACGATTTTCCAACTTTTACCATCGATCGCAAATATACACGCGGTGCGTTGAAGTTCGGATGTTGCGTTTTTGTCATGAGTGAATCTTCATTCTGGGTTGAAGATGAGATCATGCGAAATTTCACCGAGGCATATTGTGACGACACATGTTGGACCTCGAATTGTTGCGAAATATTGGACTTCCCTAGTTGGAATCTGAAAAAAGGAAATAACAAAGAGATATTAATGACCTTTTTAACATACGACATTAAATTGCTGAAAAAGTAGAAAACTCATATAGGCTAAAATTAAACTCCCACTCTGTCTATTGTAACGACCATTTTGTAAGATATCACGGATCACTTTCCGCGAAACTTTCACCCCTGCGACAACCGTTATGGCGCGAGACACAGCCGTGCACCCTCGTCCAAGATTTATATCGGAAAGAAAACAGTTTCCACCACAATTTCATGATCCATCGTAGGGAATAAGGGGAGGAAGAAGAATCCCGCGTGTCCTCTCTTCAGCGATCCTTTGTCATGTCTCGCGCCATTGTGTGCTGTTCGCTGGATCGCGTGGATCGTTCGTTTACCTGAATTGGGGAAGAATTAAATTCAGAAAAACGGACGGTCGAATCGCACGGATGTCCCGTAGATTTCGGATATGTCGTGGGAAAAAAAGGAAGAAAAACGCGAGTACGAATACAGCATGGCAAATCCTCGTCTTTTCGTGGCAGGAAACGTCGGGAGGGAAGAGGAACGGGGTGGTCTTGGCGCAAAAGGAATCTCACTTTTTCACTTTATACGCTACGTTGAATCGCGAGGTTCAACGAATACGAAGTAATGTCCAATAAAAATACATATTTAATAACCAAACACGGTAAAATTCGTTATCTTTTTGCATATTACAAAATAAATTACAAGATCAGTGGCCTCACAGTGAAGAAAACTGGATCTCCTTCTGTAGCGGCGAACGCGTCGACGGAAGATAATTTGAGAGAAGAGAGTGTGTGTGGTAAATGAAAATGACAAGAGATAAAAAAGAAGAAAGAGTACTACCCTCGCACTTTTAAGGTTCTGGAAGCCGACAAACCAAGTGTCTTCGACGTTTTATTCGTTGTCTCGTGTCTGGAGATTCTCAAACTCGTTGCCTCTGCTTATCTGACACACCTTATCGCATTTTGATAAATGCGAAGTAGGATGCGAAGAGTACACGCATGCTTCAGAGAAACTGAATTCTCTTCACGGTATGTTTTAAGAGAATATGTAAGAACGTGCAAAAGTTTCGTGATATCGTACATAAACACTATTTCGCCAAAATAGCTGCACAACCGTTAAAAAATTACGAATAATTGAACCAAAATGAAATGAAATAAAATAAAATCCGTATTTCCACCGTTAGACAGACGGATTTGAAAAATCGTGAATTCAGCGGCACCGAAATCGGCTCGAAACGGTCGTCGCGTCGTCGCTACGAAGCCGACGCATTGCCATGCTGGTAATGTTTATTGATAAGATAACTAACATGCGGGTTCCACCAGCATAATTGCTCGTTGGATTCTTCTTTGTTCCACGTACTGAACGTCCGCGGCGCAAGAAGGCGAAGGCGACGACTGCGACGGTCGCTGTGGACATCGTCGCGTGCTCATTTCACGAACACAGCGGTGACAGTAGTAGTTTGCGCTTATTTGGCACGGTCGCTTGTTAATCGTGCGTTTTATTTTCAGGAAACAATTTTCCACGCGAAGAAGATCGGACGGGCGTCGGCATTCTTTCTACGAACGCCAACGGGAATGATCGTCGGCGAGAATAATCGTTTCCGCCGGCTACAGAAGCCGTTGCGTCATTAAGGCAAATTGTTGCGCCAAGGAAAGATATGCGTCCTATCTCGTCGCGAAAAACATTATTCCGTCGTGCGAGAGGAGCCAGGATTTTCGAGGGGCCCGCTTCGCCTGAGTTCGGATAACGGATGAAGCTATTTCTTTTCACCTCGTTATTTCCTCTTTACGTAAAGCGGATTTATGGACTCCTGCCGACGCGCGCACGAAGGGCCCCGAGAAAAATTCTCACGATTACGTCGCCGGTGCGCGACCGTATCTCTCACGCCATATTTAATCTCCATAATACGTTTCAATTATTAAAACGAGACGTGGTCATTATTCGCCGCAACTTTTAACCCGCGCCACTTCGACCACCCTTGCTCGCGCACAGGCATATACACACACACACACACACACACACACACACACACACACACACACACACACACACACATACACACACAGCGTGCACACCTCACCGTGAAACTTTCTCGTAAGAACGCGGCGTTACGCCACCTCGATTAATTATCTCGATCGCCGTGCATCATTCCGCGCTTAATTCCCGTAACGCGTTTCCGTTATCGGTATAATACGTTATTCGGAAAAAAGGGTAACTTAATTGGACTGCCTGCGGTTCGCGAGTAGAGTGTGAGGGACGGAGATGGCTGAGCTCGGCTCGCGAATTAACGCGGGGTTAAGGCCTCCGCGGGCCTCTATGCCCCTCGTGGCGCTGTCGCTCGCGCGGAGACGGGCTCGCAGGCGAGGAAGAAAACCGGCACAGCGGTCGCACGCACCGATATACGTGACCGGGAGCCGAGTGAGGAATTTATTAAATTAATTTGCCGTGACGACGCATCTCGTAAACTTCGTAGATGACCTCACTTTATAATTGTCGAGAATTACTTGCCGGCCGCTCGCGCGCTCCGGACCCTCGAGCGCGAGGCTCCTTCGTGCTCCCTGCCGTTCTTGTCGCGCTGATAAGCTCCTTCAATAACGTGTGCGCCGCGCTGAAAAGTGGCAGGAGCGCGGTGAGGAAAAAAAGAGAAACAGGGAGAATAAGAGAGATGTCAAGAGCTTGAGCGCAATTTGCGATCGATCAAATTGGGATCGCTGGAACGGATAGATACTGGGTGCTTTCCAATTGCTTAACACACCTTGACACATATGTACACAGAAATGCACAAAGTGTAACGTTGTGCACGATTCAATTGGAACAAAATGTGTACTAATGTGTACGTATGTCGGGTAGGGTTAGGATTATTTTTCAACTATGCTTATATTTTGGTATTTTTTAATAATAAATAATAAAATCTAAATAATGAAAAAGATATTATCCACTTCCCGTCGCAAATGCCAGTCTCTTTTCAAGCCGCTACGCTTATTAACTTTAATTGTCACTAGAAAACACTAGTTTACACAGCCGACTAGTAGTCTTCGAGTTGAGTACGGATGTGTAGTGTTGTGTCGACGATTACGACAATTGGAACGCAACTTGTGTCGCAGAAAGTGTCTAGGAATATTGCAATTGGAAAACACCTACTGATACTTTACTGATATAACACTATTGGAGAAGGCTCCACAACTTTCAATGACGAACAAAAAAAAAATATATGCCCGAGTCTGAAAGCAGGAATTCAATTAATTTAACCTAAACACAAAACGTCTTTTACATGAGATTTTAAACGTATGTTTTGCTCCTAGAATTGGAACCTTCTCAATAGTAACAAGTAGATATTAATAACAATGACAAAACAAATTTAAAAGTTTATCGATAGTTTTCGCGTAATATTATCGTTTTTGTTCTTCAGTGGGAGTAAAATTTTTGCTTCCTCATCCCCTTTCGACGACGAGAGAGAAAAATCCCGCGTGGAACGCGTTGCAACTGGGCCTTCTTTAAATCGACATATGGCGAGCTGAGCAATGTCGAGCTTCTGTCGTTCTCTCCAGTCGATCAACGTGCATGCATTCAGTGTTATATACGTCGGTACGCATATACGGCACGTGCGCGCTACGCGCGTTTCTAAGGAAACCGCGACTTCTATTTGCGGCACGGCGACTGGTACCGTCCGCCAACTGATTCTTTTCCCCGTCGCATTCGCGTATCCCAGAATCGAATGCGTCAATTATTGCCGTGCAGCCATCGCATCCCGATATTGAGAGACATGTCTGGTTTGAGATCGGTTATCCACACGTGTGGAAACAAATGGAAATACGAATTAAAAGAGAAATTTAAATGATAAGCCCTTGTCCACAATCTTGCTTTAAGACGTAAGCCGTAAGAAACTGACCAACTACAGTTATTTCTTTTTCTTTTTAGATTATTCTTTTAAAACTCGACTATGATTGGTCAATTTTTTACGGCGTACGTCTTAAAGCAAGGTTGTGGACAAGGGCTAAAGGAAAAAGTAAATATAGTCTGTTAAAGAGAAGCTATCATACATACAAAAGTTAATGAGTTCGGCTGAGATCGGCTTCTTTTTCTTTATGTTAATCTTCAACCATCATAGCCCTCTTTTTCCTCTACAGATATTGTGTAGAATAACCAGAACAGTGGCACAGTGACAAGCTGTCTCTCTTTACGCTTGCGCATAGATATTTCACATCTCGTGTTCGAGAATATCCTAAGTGGACTTGGGAAAAATGAATAGAGTCGGATCGTGAGACGAACATGTGTCGGATACCCATGGGAATCGATGATCGGCAATTGGAAACCGAGAAGATTGAGGAAGGTCTGGTTGCGAGATATTTCGAAGAGGATATCTAACATATGGCTAGACGTTCCGCCACTTCCGTTCGTGGCCGCGCGCTTTTAAGATGACTACGGCACGACTCACCACCGGCCATGTGTCTCCCAAATTGCATACTGCAGGCCATTAAGAATATTGTGACCTTCGATGCATGAGACTTAGAACATATGTATAATAGGGGAAAGAAATTGGAGTTGCATATGCGCGGATCGCACAAGTAATGCCTCTGAAGCTGGACTTTTTACGGACGAAGAATCCGTATCAGGATTCAAATTAAAATTATAATCGATATATTATGAATTATATAGTATATCCAATATCAATATAACCTGGTTATCCAATCTCATGGGTACTATTTTGTACTCAATTTCGCAAATAGTGTCCAGAAAACCGGATATCTGATTTTATAGATATTATCGGAAAAAGTAACCCAGGGAGCCAATCTCACGGGTGCTATCTGAGTACCCGAGTACTCAAAGTCGCAGGTATTTTGGATACTTAACTTCACAAGTACTACCTGAGCACGTGGATAGCTGAGTATCCAACTTCACGGATGCTATCCGAATATCTGGATACTACTCGGTTACCCAACCTCACACGTACTGATCGAGTATCTAGGTAGCCGGGTGTTGAACCTCATGGGTACTACTCGAATATTTGACTACTTAAAATCACAGGCACTATTTGGTAATCCGGATACTACCCGTGTACCATCTTTACTATGAACTGTACTGTGATGGTAGGCTACCGAATTTCACCCATAAGACCGGGTATCCAGTTTCACAGCTACTATCCGTATACCCAGGTAAACGAGTACCAGCAGTACTATTCGGTTACCTGGATATCTCAGTATTCAATAGCCAAAAGATTGGAATATTCGAGTAGCATTTAGGGTACTGTGTATTCAGAAATGTTTTCATTAATTACGAAAATTCCAAAAATACGATAGAAGCGTTTCTAGTCATTTATCGTACAGACAACGAGCGAAGATATCATTGTATGCGACAAATGATTGTTAAAATGAAGAAAGTGATATTTTTGCGATAAATTACGATAAAAATATGATATCCTTTATCAGAGAGACTCGGTTAACTCGGTTTATCAGAGAGACTGATAAAGCTCCTGCGGGTTTGAGAGTGTTCACTCGATACGACAAAAAGCACAGAGGAGGGGACGTTCGCGACGTTCAAGTGTCGGCACGTCGGCACGCACTTCGCAAAGTGGCTTCAGTGCGTGAAGTTTATTTTCGAGCTTAACGCCGACGTAGCACGTGTTCGAGGCGAAGCGTCGAACACGAGTTTCCACTTGGCGGCGCTTCCGCGACGCGGGTATCACGTGTGCATCCTGAACGCATCGGCGATGCAACTCATAGTAACACCCGTCCGAAAAGACACTTCCACCCTCACCATGCATATCGAAATGACTTCTTTCACTTATCGCAATCGACCGTCGTTTAAGATCAAACACGTAATTTTTACTCTATCGAACAGTTACTATATAATTTCTTTTCTGTTACTTCTCTCAAACATTGTACTACATTGTATTACGGCGATCGTCGAAACATCATGCTAGACAAGCACTGACACGATCACGCTACACTGAAAGAAGGTTATTGTAACAAATACCAAATTTGATAGTTGTTGCTAAATTATACAATCAAATCATTGGGCCGAACATAAAGTTATAATTAGAAAATAAAGTTATAATTAGAAAATAACTTAGTTATATAAAATAAATATATATAATTCTCAGAATCAAAGATTTAATTGCTTGAACTGTTATATTTAAATGATCAAACTAGATTCTGGAGATTAATCTTGGCAGCAGAAAATGAGATATTTGTTAACTATTACAAAAACTTGTGCCCGATATTTTGTTTATGTAATGTTTTTATTTTATTCGAAAAATCACATCATACTATTTAAGCCATTTTAAGACATCTATATTTTTTATTTTTTACATCAATGTTTTTCTATCGCTTTATACGTGAAATTTTGTACTCTCAAACATTGTCTGTTTTACAGGAAGGAGAACGCCACTCCGTATATAATTTTTCAAAGAATCAATTTTATCGTAAGATATATTTTTATTGTTCGTAGAGAAAAACAGCAGAAATGTTCCTTCGAAAATATATTGTATCGTTTGAGGTACGATTTTCCATTTGGATCGTCTCTTTCCTATTGAACTGCGAACGGTCTTTCCCATAATTTGCGCTCATCGACCGAGCTGACGTAGCCTCCCAATTTGAACAGACTGCCGTTAAACTTGTCGGGGACTCACCTATGGTTACACGTGCGTCAGCCGTTGCGTGTGCTGTTGATGAACGAGCCTGCCCTGTTCCTGTTCCCACCAGCTGACGACGTCCATGAATTCCCCCGTCTCGGTGATCTCCTGCTTGTAGTAGAGGGCTCCCGAGAAGGTATCCGGACTGGTCGCGTAGATGGTCGTCGCGCCCTCTTCGCTGTCACCGGCGCCGCTGTACGGCGACAGGATCTGCGGCTCCAGATTCTCCTCGTTCTGGGCGTAATACTCGGACGGCGGCGAGGCCACTGAATTCGGGGAGAGATTTCTGGAGAAATTCTGCCCGCTCGTTATAGTGCGCGGCTCCAGGTTCTCCTCGTCGCCGCCCGAAGACGCGTAATATTCGCGCGGCGATGGATCGGCCGTCCGATTGGGGGATAATCTACGAAGAGACAAGAGAACGAGGTCAGTGTGACTGAAAAGAAAAGTTGCGCTCTGTCGTAAAAGCGAAAGGCCAAAACGCGTGTTTTCGCTTGTGTACTTGATTTCTTTTCAGTCATTCAGTTCGACGTCCAGAATTTACCTGGACAATGTGATCCTCGACTTCACATTATTCCCATCCTCCTCTTCGTCCAGTTGCTCCCCCTCGTCGTCTTCCGCGACTAGTGCGTCGTCCTCGAGAGCGAGTCTCTCACCGGAACCGTTGTGAGTCGAAGAGACGACACTGCTGGTCGGAGAAGGGACGCATTGTGCGCCAGCACCGGTACTGGAATCGTACTCGATGCCATCAGCCTCGGCCAAGAGCCTCTGAAGACCTCGGATGTACTCCACTGCCATCCTCAGAGTTTCCACCTTGGACAATTTCTTACCCCTGTCCCCATAACCCGCGGCGATGTGGCTCGGAATGTGTTGTCTCAATGTAGCGAATCCATTGTTCACTTGCTTCACGCGATTCCGCTCCCGAGCGTTTCGTCGGGCAACGGCGACAGGCGGCGGTTGCCCATTTTTGCCGTGCTTCTTCAGCCTGGAGGGATCGTAGGGGGGTAACACCGCCGTGGAACTTGTGTTACTGGCGGCGTTGCTTTTTGACACGATGAGCGGCTGGTTGCCAATGATGTTGCTTTCGTTGTCTTGCAGAGTTCGCAGCAACATCAGCTGTTCTTGATCGTTGCCGTTGATCTGCACCCTATTGCAGAACACCGTAACTCCCATGGTCGCCATCGCGATCTTCACGTTTCAACGAATGTTCCCTGGGCGACGTCGCTCGTTCAACTCGACCTACGGATCAGTGTGAACAGGACGTGTAATTCACCATCGAAATTCGCGTTCTGATCTCGAATTGGAGGAAAAGGGTTCTGTTTTTGCTCTCGTAAAGCTCAATTCTGCGAACGACTGTTAAGCGATTAACCGAGTATTGTTGGAGGTCTTTGGGATCGAGCTCAATGAAGAGACGAATGTAATGGGCTTCTACAAGTGTCACGAGCGAGACGAGAATGACTGCGTGTTAAAAATATCGAGACATCTCTCCGGCGTATTGAGGATTCCGCAAAGCGACGTGTAAATTTGGCGTATTGTCGTGCCCAGCAATTTCCACAATAGCGTTGATTAAATGAATTGCGCTAGGACAGAGGAGCCGACCGGTCGATAAGCGACATTAATGCTCGTCGAGGACGACTCTAATTGGTGGACTTATAAATAAAACGTGCTGGTTGTGGTTGGAGACAAAGGCGATTATCAACGCAGACTATCGGGCGGCGTTTCGATTGGGTATCAATTTGAATCTGGGTCGAAGCTGTCGCTGATGAAAAAGTTTTGCATGCTAGGGCTCAACGAGCGATTCTTTTAAAGTGTGATTAATGATACCGCGGTTAATGACGCACAAAATATGTCGTACGTCTAAAGAGTATCTTCCTTCATCGGGTTGCGTTTCGGATTCTTCTATTCTCTATGATCGTAGTTTGGAAACATTTGGATGTAGGTCTCTGTGCGAGTGCCATCAATAGAGAGAGGTCTGTAGTCTCTTCTTTTACTAACCCACGAAGCTGATGACCCGAACCGAGATCCAATTGCCGGTCGCCGCGGCTTAAGTAAAGCATGAGGTCACCGTCTATTCTTCTCCGCGACGGTCGTCGACTCCTCGGAAACTATTGTCCAGATCTCCCAAAACAAACGCGCCAAACGTTCCCGCGTGTCAATTCGTGTTTCTCATGGTAGTACGCGTCTATCACTGTCTAACGCCGCGCACTAAATCCGACCCAAATCGATTCCGCGCACATATCGTGCATGTTCTCGATACTGATTGCCAATTACGAGTCGAGACACAAACGATCTCCAGATAGTTCAGCTCGTATCGAACTTCACGATAATCTACTTGTACGTTACGGCCGGGATTCTACCAAGCTCTGAGGGATTGTGTCTTCAAACCAATGTGCGCTTCTCTGATTAGATACTTGCCGAATATCAAGGTGACTCCTTATGAAAATGCTGTGGTACAATGCTTGCCATAAAGATGAAATTTCCGTTTGCACACGACACATTCGATTCCTTCGAAGGTCTTCATTTACGGAACATTTCTGTTCCGAAGGGAGAAATCTGATTAGACCAAAGGCACTTGGGTTTCAATGATTCGTGTGTCAAATTGTCCGTTGATGTGTCTGTGTCTCTCCCGTCGATACTTCCTCATGCGATCATCAATTGGCGCACTTTCGTCTGTCTGATTAGAACGTCGACCTGCGCACTATATGTTGCACACGTGGTGAACATAAGTATCGAACTGCCAATCGGATTAAAGTTCCGACCGCGAGCACGGGTTCACTAACTAATCACTGTGTCATCCATTCCGAGCAGCTCCGAAGACACCACTCCGACATTCGATCGTTAACCGATGATTAATATCGGTCCCGTGCTCGGAAGAGTGACAGGCCGACGAGTGGCTGTCATTTGCTCTTGCACCTTTTTCATGCGACTTTAATATCAGTGTGTCGTCAATCTGAGTTGTTTTATATTTCGATTTCGTGTCAACGAAGCTGCCGTAGTTGGAGCGATTTTGATCTGCTATCGCTTGATCTGGTTGGTATCAACATAAATATGTATTAACGATCATGTAAATATCCCATCTACTTGTTTCTATCACACAGATACACATATACACAGACACACATACACACACCAGACACAATTGGCATTTGTTATTCGCCTACACGAGGATGTTCCTGCAAGTTTCCGATGTACACGGAGGAGAAGATTCAATTCAAAACTTCGCGCACACTGAAGCATTCATTCGACCCAGTATCTTCACTCTTCACTCGCAACTAACGACGACCCGCGCGAACCACGTGCGATCCGCTCCGAAACTGGAACTCACTCCAGGTCCCCCATACAAAGGGCCCTTGGGACTAGCTGGAAACTCACGTCTACCGCCGCCGGAAGAGAGATCCTCACAATCGCGTATCACCAGCACCACTGTACGCCGATCGTGTGCCTCCGTGCTACGCACTACATGGCGTCCGCGACGGGAATGAGCGCGGACATCCGATAGATGGATTAGGTTCCAGTATTTTGCCGCACCGCGCCGAGTTGGGTCGTGGGGTTGGAGCGAGAAGGGAGAAGGGCGCCCTGCGCGAGAGGGAGCGAAACCGGCGGCACGGACAGCACGGTCGAAAGAGACGGGAAGAGAAGAAGAGAGACAGAGACAGAGATAGAGGGAGAAGGAGACAGAGAGAACGAGAGACAGAGTTGGTGGGGATTTTCAGCACGCGCCGCAGCCCCTCGTTTCTTCTCCCCCGGAATTGAAAAGGGGGACCGTGCGCGCCATATGCCGGTGGAGAGAGAGCGTGTGCCGGTTGCGCGACTATGTGTGTGGGTCCTATGGCCCAGCAATAAGTGCGTGACGCACATCGCTAACGTATGTGTGTGTATGTAGCGTGTATGTAGCGTGCGTGCGTGCGTACCTTGCCCGCAGCTACCACTTCTCGTACCGGTGGTACGCGGGAGACTATACGAAAGACAAAGTGATCCTGGTAATCTAATGCGTAATTGAACGGCGGTCGATACGCGATTAAAGAGGGCCGCGTTATTATGTACTTTGTTCGTTATTGCCTTACTGTCGATACTCGCGCCGACAGCAGAGCGATATCGTTGAGTATAGACGTGTTTATATTGTTGATCAGCTTAGCGCCGTTCGTATCCGTTGAATCCGTGTGTTTATTTACTATTTCGTGTCTGAAGACATGGAGAGGCGCGCGCGCGCGACCTCGCCAGGACTCTCCGTTTAACGAAAGTTACTCCCGCAGAGATATCGCGATTTTCAGGCATGACACGGCGATCGGAGAGATTACGTAGATCCCTGTGCTAGATACTCGTGCCAAATAAATGCGTTTCGTGATTTGCATTTTCGCCCCGGCCGAACGGGGCGCTTTAATCTTCACCGTTGAACGCCAGAACAGAATACACCATGAGAAAGCACATGCGTATACTATGCGCCGCAATAAAACCGCTGAAAATATTTGATTTTGCGGCACAATAGTGCGATAATATTAGAATCAGATTTTGATGTGGTTCTCCGGACATTGTGTGTACGCGACGTGATCCCGTGCATGCTTCTGCTTGTGGATGAATACGTGATCGTAAATGATCGCGAGCGATCGCGTGCGTTCGAAATTGTTCAATATATCCATACCAGAAGAAAGGGAGAAAGAAAAAAGTTGGACGAAATAATTCAATTCCGCTTGTGGCGCGTTTCCTACCGCGGCAAAAGACAGGAAGAACCACACTCACCATGTCGCGGAAGTTTCGTGTTTCAGGGCGGTGCACTCGTGAGAATGACACATAAGCGAAATATGATTTTGTTCGGGAAAATATAAAAAAAAACCGGTTCTAAAATCGTCCACTAGCAGATATTTCGTCATTTAACTTTTGTGTCCTTATATGTAGGATAGTTTAGAACAATAATCAACTTAGATAGATTGTTCGGACGGCCATTTTAAGTAAAAAATATCACATGAACGTCCTATTCTCAATATCTATGTTATAGAAATTTTTTAGTTTTGCTGCTATTATACTAAAATTACTTGCTTGGTCAGTTCAGTTTTATAATAAATACTCAAAATATACTTAACCCTGAGCTTGAATGCACGTATTGCATTCTATTGACGAATTAAGGAATTATATGCACGATATAATACATTATTCGTACAAATTTTTTAATTTATATTTTATAATATCATAAATAATTTTATAAATGCGTCACTATTTTGGACAAGTAATAATAATAACAAACAATAATAATAATACTTTATTGGATGTCTAGCTTAAAAGTTTATTTAAGAGCAACTTTTCAATATTGCAAAACTGACAGCGAAATCACGAATAATCGAAGGTCGTATCCGAGCTCGACGCAACTGGATTGAGTATTGAATCGGAGCGTATAAGTGTGGTGCTCATGCTCATCCGTAAATTATAATTTAAGAAGCAACCGCGATACAGAAAGCTTTTTATGCCGGGGGCTGCACTGATTATGCCGAAGGGATTGTGGAGGGTTCGGTAGGATTCGACCTAGATCTGGTCTTCATTTGTGCCGCTAAACCTGAGAGCCTGAACCGACCGTAAGATCGAGCCGGAGGCCTGGCCGAATTTATAATACACACGTTATTTGAAATGGGGTCCTACCCTCGTGCGGAATTTCAATTTTAGATTCTCGTAGCTCGAATAATTATTTATTAAAACGCGATAAACGTCCAGCGCGAAATATCACGTGTCAGATAAATCCTGGCTGATGTTTCGCTGTGAATAATCTCGAGCAATTGCCAGTTTAGAAACTTGCTACCGGAGGAACTTTACCGAATGATGAACTTTCTGTTCTATAACAGATGGGAAAAATCTGCTTATGGGAATCTATGACAGATGGGAAAAATCTGTTTATAGGAATCTATATATATATATACACACAAGATGTTTGACGCAAGTATCTCATATCTCGTGTACATATAGATTAGGTCCGGATATAAAACCGAATACAAAATTTCTTGAACATTTTGCAGGAAAATTTTGAATGGTTGTTTGCAAAATGATAGAGAAATTTTATGTTCAGTTTAACCTGGTCTGCATATACGATGTATGGGACACTTTGCGTCAGACACCCTGTATGTACGTATAGCCCTCCTACAATATGGCGCCACGCTTTTCCCATATGTGAGAAAGATGCATTTTTTCCGCTGAGGATTAACGTGATTCGTGTGCGAATGGTTAGCACGTGACACCGCGTGTGAGTCCTTAAAAGCGGTTAAAACGGAGAGGAGGGAGAGGGAGAAGAATGAGAGAGAGAGAGAGAGAGAGAAAGAGAGATTTATGAAATCTTTCCTGTACAATACTTCATCCTCTCGTTTCCTTATTACTTCCACCGGTGAAAGCCAAGGAATGTTCAATCTTTCGCACGTGATGTTCATCAACAATGATAAAATGATGCCCAAGTTTGCCTCTGCTAAGCAAGACAAAGAAGACAACTGTCGACTACGCGACGCAACTCGATTTTTCGTGCGACCTCGACACACAATCGGCAACCACGTGATGTCCAACGGAAATGCAAAAGCATCACATGAGGATCCTGAAAAAGCGGCTTATGTGCGTGCATATCAGGACACCGGCACGAATGGCAGGCGCAGGCGTAAGCATCGTGTCTTAAGGTGCGTTAAACGTGCGTAACTTGGCGATTATTATTGCGAGGATAAAATACGTTGATCGCCGGTCTTTCAGTCGCGACACTGAACAGGGTGGAGCCGAAACCTCGCGAGTGCGCGGTCCTAGTCCCGTAAGGCCCATAAAGTCCCCGGATATGTTGATCCGGGTTGTGCGGGATCAAACATTTTCAAAAGATTCTCGCGGGCGAGCTCATTGCACCGTGCGCGCATGCAAAGTGATCTGATCCCGATTTACGTATCCAGACGGGACGCCGGCGACCCGACCGATCGGACCTGATCTCCGGTCTCTCGATCGCGGCACACAGCATGCCGTATATCACGGGGGTTTTTCGGTATTATCGAGCGGCGCATCGATGCCGCTCGCGACCGTCCGACTGATAAGTTTACAGACTCGTAGCCGGGGGTATTATACGCCGGAGAGAGGATCTCCAACAATGGGGGACTCGGTGGGGCCCCACGGCGGTTCTTCCCCGTTCTCGCGCATAATCCCCGAGCTCTTCTCGTGGGACTCCGCCGAGGCGTACGCGCCCCGTTCCGTGCCCCCTCCGCGCGCCCCTCGGGGCTGCGAGAGAGATTAAAGCTCCTCTCTCTCGCGCGCGCGCGCGCGCGCGAGGGTCGCCGCTCTATATATTTCGTTATAAATTCGGCCACGGACCCTCGTTCTCTCTTCTCTCTAGAACGCGCCGTCGCGGCTTATAGCGTTCGGAATCTCGATCCCGCGACTACACGTACGTTCCATACGAGTCGAACGAGCGCGGTACCGACCCCGACACGTTCCCTCGCTAATTTCCCGTATTTATTGTTAAGGGGCTAACCGTCGGGATTATTGATAGGCGTATTATTGTGACAATGGCGATGCTCGTTTCATTGCGCCACCGTGATGGAACGTCATTGCACCCTCCTCTACTATGCCACGAGGGACAGTACTCGCCGAGTATTTACATTTCATTTCTATCACTTTTTCAATACTTGGGAGACGTCGATCCCAGTGCTGTCGGTATAAACAGAGTATTGCTATGTCCTGGGTACTACCTGGGTACCTAGGTATCTGAATAGTCAGGTAATACTCACGAGTTTAGGTTTAGGTTTAGTTACTCGGGCAATTGGGGTTCCTAGGACCGGGTACACTGTTAAATATTGAAGGGTCAAATTTAAGCCAATTTCTTGAGTTAAATAATATTTAGTTATTTTTAACTATCATGTGTGTCAAAATTTACTATTTTAACACAAAACATGTGTTTAAAAAAACAACCACATCTAACCAACCCATTTAAAACAATATTGTCATTTTTTACTAAAACAAAGGTTACATTAACGTGCACATAATAAAAAATAAACTAAATTTTAGTCAAATTTGATACATTTCTTAAGTTAAATTATTTAACTCCATTACATTAGTTAAATTAACGAATAGGAGCAAGAATATGAATATGAATATGAATATGAATATGAATATGAATATAACATATTTTTCGCCAAATTTATGTCATTTAGACAAGTTGTCTTTTCGTCGTCTCTGTCTTCTTCTTCGTAAAATATATAGTGATATATTTAGTGATTTTCTTGTTAGGATAGACTGCACATTGCTGTAGGATAAATGAAAGCAGCACTAATAAGAGAGAACAATATAGAGAGCAAAATGCTTTCCTTGTCACTAAAGCTTGATTTACAATATGCTCTTTGCGTTCTGTTTCTTGTTTTCTATCTTTTTCTGGCTTAAAGCTTAAGATTTGAGTCAGAAAGAGATAAAGAGAAAGAAGCAGGAAGCAAAGAGCATATTGTAAATCAAGCTTAATTGTCTAGTTGATGGGAGGAACAAAGAAGCAGACGCGATCACATGACTCATGCGTCCTCTTTTTCTTTCACTATGCTCCACTCTCTTTCTTTTCTTCTACATCGTCTTCTCCTGGAGTATTGTGTGACAGAGAAAGTATTTGTTAT